CTCTCTCCTCGTAGTCCTCTGCCTCTTTTTATTCTTCATCCTCCTCGTATCCGTCCTCCTCCTCCTCCCCTTCTCCCTCTTCTCTTTCTTCCTCTTCTCCAGCCTCCCCCTTTTCTCATTATTTTTTGTCTTCTTCCTCTGAGTACCTTTCTTCCACTTACATAATGCATCCTCATCTCATATGGGGGTCTCACACCTTCTTGGAAGTTGCAAGATCCAACTCCATCAGACTAGAGTAAATTTTTCTTTCAAAACTTTTCCTTCTATTTTAATGAAAGATTTAAGTGGGGACTAATTTTAATCATACCAGGTAATATTTGTTGAAATTTCAGGTGATTATGTATCGCTTTATTTGTAAATTAAAAAATTAAACACTAAAAAGTGGCCCGAAACTGTATTTAACAAGGTGGAGAAATGGTGCTGGGTCCACACCATTTCGCGGGGAAACAAAGCCAAGAAATACCAAAAATTAAAATTAGAGTCAAAAATAAATTTTTAGAACTCTCTGAGTGTGATCTTCTGATGAGGTCTAATAAGGCCCAAACCGGTAAAGATCTCTCGGCGTGACTCCAACTTAATATTCCATTGCAAACTGCCTGAGCTGAACACTCTCCCCCCCCCTCAGTTTCATACTGGTGCGCATTAGAGTTCTAAAAATTTATTTTTGACTCTAATTTTAATTTTTGGTATTTCTTGGCTTTGTTCCCCCGCGAGATGGTGTGGACCCAGCACCATTTCTCCACCTTTATTTGTAAATAAATTAGATAAATTTAAAAAGATTGGCAACATATTGACCATGTTCAAATGGCACTTAATATACTCTGCATATAGATAAGAACGATGCGCTATTGGGTTTTATCTTATGGTGGATGGCGCAGTAGGAACGTTCGCGCGATGTTTAAAGTTTTCTATTCTATTATCAACTCATTTCGCGGGTGGACGAAAGTTGAAACGTGTATTTTCAGGAAATTCCTGTAAGACAAAATTTTTTCACCGCCTGTTTCTTGAACCTCGCGCATACTCGTGTGCTTATTCTGTGAAAATTTTACATTACGATGTTGGTTTGTCTATTTATGATAAAGTAAAACGAGAGTGGAAATTTTGAAATACTGCAGCAGAAATTTTGGCAGTTTCACCGTCAATGCTTATATTTCGTCTCATTCTTTTTGTCACCGGCCCCCATTAGCAATTTTCAACGAAAACGCGATAAATTGAAAGTAAGTTGAGATTTTTCTACAATATCTTGGCGATAACATCACTAGGATCACCAACATCTGAGCAATTCTCCTCAATCTTGTGGCAATTTTATCCCTAGAAATTCGCGTTCGATAAAATCGGAATTTTACCTCAATTTAGCATGATTTTTGTTCCATATTATTGCGATGAATCGCAGTTGATAAAATCGCGATTTTAATGAAAATTTCAGCGATGAAATCGCAAATTTTTAACCGATGATATTGCAAGAAACCGACGTCGATAAAATCACGATACATTGTCCGATCAAATCGCAACATGGGAAATAAAGGGTCTGAGAATCTAGAACCAATGTTTGCAGCTCCAATACAATTTGGACCCAGCACGTAAATGGATTATCTTATTTTCCTTCCCAAATATGCTCGTGTTCTTCTCTCATTTGCTTTTATTTCCACCTGTGTATGGTCACTCCAACCTCTTCATTTCACTCTCCAATGCAAACCATTGTCAGATATCTTTGGCAGATCGACTAATGCACTAATGGGTCAAGTCTGTGACTGTTTCTGTATCAGTCTCTTCATCTCTTGCGTGCCTACAAAAAAATTGCACTGTTAATCCTCTTCGCCTTACTTTGGGAATTCCTGAATTGAGACGGTTGCTTCTCTTGTGAATATGTTGTGTAATATCTAGGTATCCGTGCCGTAAAATACGTTTCTAATTTGTGACTTTTGCGCACAATCAGCGCAGCATATCTGATCATTTGAAGTGAATTTGCGAATGCTCTCTCACAGCTTTTTTCAGGTTTGGATTTTCCTCTGAGGTGGACCGTCGTCATGCCTTATGTCAATTACAAGTGACCGATTGGGGCTCTATCCAGTTAACTAAATTTGCCAATCTGGAAGTACACTTTCTGTCTCAGTTTAGAAACAACGTATGCACCATCACTTTCTCTGTGTAGCGACCGAAGTAGCATTTTTCAGTGGAAAAATCGCTGTACTTTGAAATTAAGTTGCGATTTTTTTTTACAGTTTGTTGGCGATAAAATCGCTGGGATTATTAACATCTGAGCGACTATTCTCAATCTCTCGACAATTATATCTGTTTAAAATCGCTTTAAAAAAACGGAATTTTGTCCCAATTTATCACGATTTTTTGTTGAATAATATTGCGATTAATCGTGATTTTATTGCAAATTAATGCGATGAAATCGCAATTTTTCCCGATAATAATACAATAAATCGACATCGATAAAATCTGAATACATTTTCCCATCAAATTGCTACGTATCGCGATCACAGCTTCTTGGGTAAGTTCTTTTATGGATGAGCCGGAAATTATGGTTCCAAATTGCAAAGTGTAGTCAATATGACGTGCTTTAAAATGAAAGAAAAATAAGGTGAAAAAATTGAATGGCTTTTGTTATTAAGGCCGAGAGGCATCTGTTTTAGCAGATCCTGTAGTCATTTTTGTACACATTTTTTTAAAATTTATGCAAAACTCCACCACCAAAATTAGAGCCCGGGTCCCATTTACGTAGTCAATGCGGAATCTGGTCGGCCCTCCCTCCTTACTTAGTATATCGACGGTGAAACTACCAAACCACGTATCTCGGTTTGCGACGTCGCAGACTTCCTATCAAACTTTATTTTTTAAATGAAAAACTACTTAACATCCAGTCTTGAAAATTTTCTGTGATTTCTCCTCTTTGTGCGGAGAAAATTCCGTGAAAATCTCAAGGAATGATATTGATTTGGTCTACTTCAAAAAAACAAAATGTGAGCGTAGATTTTTAAACACCGCAAACGAGATACGTGGTTTGGTAGTTTCACCGTCGATATAACTTCATTGAGCATTTTAAAAATCGACCTTGAGTTGTGTTTGCGATGAAGGTTAAAAATTCCTCGTTTATTCTAACGTATGATTCATCTCAACAAAAGTTCAAACTTATGAAATTGTTCCCTCAAATTTTTTCTTTCGGTATCTGCAAATGTTCTCCAACGGATGGTTAATAATACAAAGAAATAGATATCTGGCAAACTCAGGCAACAGAGATTGTTTTTTTGCCCAACTTTTTTCGACGCCTCCAAACAATTTGAACAGGCCGATAAGTGGCTCATGCTATTCAAAAAATAAACATTCCTCCCGAACAAATATTTGTCAAAAGTAAGCGGAAGTGACGAGAATTTCAAGAATGCTTTGACTTCCGACGTCTACTCTTACGTACACACAGTAGGACATTTCCAATTAATTGTTTTTATTTAATGGTTAGACAAGCTTTAGTTTATTAAAGTTTTATCGCGAATAAAACTGGAGGATAAATTGCTTGTTAGATTAGAGTGGCCGGAGAACTGTCATTACCGAAAGAATGTTTTATATTTTAACGCTTTAATTAAGTTGATTCATAGTCTGCACCTATACGTATGTTTTGTCCTTGATAAAAAAGACTAAAGTCATCGCTTAGATTTTCGGAACTGGCTCAAAAAAATGGTCGCGAGAAAGAAAAATGAACGAATGAGAACATTTCTCCCTCCCATTTTTTTTCGGGATCACCTTCCGCCTTTTTGTAAGTATAGAACATTACAAATGGGATCTAACCTACCCTCGAAAATGTCTTTTAAGAAGATAACACAAATTGATCATTTTCAGCTCTCGGAGCAATGACGAAACCTTCGGGAAAACATATTTTTTTCCACCGTCCTTATAAGTAAATGTAATTATTTTTTTCAAATAAATATCAAACAGATTCGCCATAAAAAGCAAACGCACGAAGTTCCTTCATTTCGGAGGGTATGCAATTCGATCTCCCGGTAATTAAAGTAGTTGTTAGAGGTCAAAGCTAACTGCCGATAACAAGGACTAATTTAAAAATCAAATGTCATTAAAAAGAGGAAATATCACTAACATAACTATGAGTAAAGGGACAATTATTGTCAATGAAAGTATGACACTTAAAACTAAAAATCATAGCTTAAGTCAAAAAATGTGACCTCAGATTGCAACTTAGTAAGTCTTGCCTCATGTGGATCGAATTTAGCAAAAAGGAACAAGCGCGATTACAGTGTTGTAAACATGTTGCCTCTTCATACTTATCTAAAATATCTTTCAGAATAGCAAATAATTTTGGTTTCCCACTAAAAAATTGTTAATTTTACAGGAAAATTATTGTGTGGATGTAAATATTGTACATATATTAAGTATTTTTAAAAGAAAATGAGAAGTTGCAAGATCTTGAAAACACTGTAATCGAGCTGGTTCCTTTTTGCTAAATGCGATCCATGTATTATTATTTTTTTAAAAGGAAGCTAACCAACGCAGCAAAACCCCCAGAGGGCGCTTTATACACTCAAAGTGCCGCCGTCTAATTATTAGAGGGGGTTTATCTAATGAATGCCTCTTATCGATAGTCACAAAAATCACGAAAACTGGCTAGAGCAAGTTGTGACAACTAATGAACATTTACACAGTTTAAATGGGAGAATTCACAACTTTGTCACGCAATTTAAAAAAAACTGGGAGTCGTATTTCAAAGATCTGAATAGAGCGAGCTCATTCAGAGACTATCACCTGTCGACAGCCGCAAACATCATGGAAATTGATCCAGTAAAACAGTGACGAAGGATGAAAATTTAAGGGATCAGAGAGCTTCTAGTAATGGTTCGGAATTCTTTTCTCGCTGTTCAACTTACATTATGAAGATGTAAATCAGTCAGACGTGCAGCAGTGCAGCACTGCCAAATAAAATGCATAAATCGAAAGTCCATCTCTAAAGCTTGTAAGCTCTGAGTAGAGAACAATTCACACCTTACCTTAGACAGAATAATCCGGGACACAAATGAGAGAAATTGTTTCTAGGACACTCCTCGCAATCCGACCACGTGTTCCGTTCACCGCTACACAATTTGCAGCCACTTGAGACGTTTTATCGAATAAAATTTTTTCATCACTGACTTTTCACAGGGAGCTTAATCGTTTAACCATGAATCGCTCACCGGATAAGACGAAAAACGTTTAATTTTTTAGAACGGAGATTCTTGAATTCAAATCAATAATACTCGGGAGAAAATTCACACAACACAGGAACGTATGTAAACTGAGTGTAAGGTATGTGCAAAAGTCATTAAAGTCAATCGACGGGCGCAAAATGAGTGTCTTGAGCGTCGAATACACAGTATCAAATCCGTCCGTGCGAAAATCGTGGGCACCGCGAGCGAAAAAGTTATCAAGTGCGCAAAGTGAGATGGGATCGTGAACTAATGGATAACCAAATAATGTGATAAGAGATGAGGCGGACAGGGCGGTGCGGCTCAGGACGGTCGGGTCTGCGCCTGCGCTCTCCCACCCCGGCAACTTTCGAATACAGGCCGACTGGTTATGATATTTTAAAATGCCGAATAAATAAACTTTATGGCGGTCAGGTCGCTAGATTTTCTGTCACTCCTCTCCTTGCATTGTCTTTCCGTTGCCCGCTCCTCGCGGCCGATTCCTCGAGATTCGTGCAGCTTGTCTCCTTTTTACTAATTAATTATGCCCGAATGCTCGCACGCCGTCCACATCGGCGTTTCTCTCGCGAAAGAACGTAACTCCATTCCAATGTTGCTAAATTTCCCTGGGCGAATTGCACTTCTACCAGAGGAATTTTTGGAAATCCATATTGAAAATTTCGCTGATTTTTCCTTCTATATCATGCAAAAATCAGACAGATTTTCAACAAAATTTACGCTGTTGCATTTTTTAAAAAAAGGAATTGTTGGAGTCAATTTTGCAACCTTGGCATGGAGTTACGTTTCTTCGTTCAGGGAACGGAGATATGCTTGCGCCTCTGTCTCCGCGACCTGCTCACGTAATAGCTTCTTAAGTGGATCTTGATGGACCACGAGAGCTTTTTTCCTCGTCCTCCGATTAGTTCATGCGAAACATGGTCGATAAAGGTTATCCCATGGTTAAATCGTCAGAATGCAGCGGGCTGATTATTCGAATTGATAGACACAGCTATAGACGAAGAGTACAAAAGGGAAATGAAGGGATGTCATTCGTTGAAACGGGGGATGAAGGACTAACGAACGGTAGCTCACGAGAGACCCCGTAGTCAGTTCATTATTTTCCCCCTCAGTCTATAATAACCACCCGTTTTAACCAAAAGAATTGCTCTATTTTTCCATTCTTTTCTTTGTCTATCGCTATGTCTATCAATTTCAATTCTTAGCCTGCTGGAATGTGTGCTCAATGGGTCAAAATAAACTCGTCTATTAAAATTTTCTCCAAAGGTCCTCTACCCCCGGTCGCAGATATATGGCTTCCCTTTTTTTTTGTAAAAAATCATAGGATTTTCTGGATTTTGGTGGTGGCTTTTCATGAAAAAATACCTATCCCCACTTTACGTATTTTAGCGCTAAATTCATCTATAGCCTCAAAAATATCGGAAGATCAAGTTAAAGGGTTTTTTAGGTAGTCTTGGATGTTTCGCGTTGAAAAACGTGGTCCTTCTGATTTCCGTGTTTAACCTGTCATTTTGTTTTTTTTGAGGCAATAGGTGAATTTAACGCTACTTTGAGTCATTTTTGAGGAAATGTTAAACTGGGAGAAATTGTAGGTTGACCTATAGGATGATATACGTGCCTAAATTTGGACTGAAAACGCAGTAAAATGTAAAAAAAAATTCCAGTAAACTTTTTTTCGCTCAGAAATTGATTCGCTTTAATTTTATAAAGTAGTCGGCTCTCGCAAGCAGTAATAAAGAAATCTAACAAACGCGGATCAGTGACTAGGGATGGACGAATATTGAATTCGAATGCGATTATTCGAAAATTCGAAACTTTTCGAATGCGATTATTGCGATCATTTGAGAATTCGAATCTCGCGATTGCGAATACTTCGGAGGCGTCTAATGTGATGCGATTATCTCGGTGCCGATAATTCGAGTATCGAATATTCGATTATCTAAATATTCGACCATCCCTATCAATGACTATAAAATGTCCTCACAAAGCGCGGTACTTTGATACCACATTCCGAACATACTTACTTGCAGCCACTTTTGCCCATCCTGGTACATGAAGGAGAATCTGTTTGCCTCAGTCGGCAATCCTCCTCGTCAGATCCGTCATTAAAATAGAAGCGTTATTTCCCAAGACAATACTCATTGTAGACAGACTTCTTCCGAATAAATACATCAAATTATCATTCCCCCGAACATTAACCTCATCAAAATGTCATGATGGGTTTTTCACATCACGTCATACATCGCGACTTGTACATCTAAGAAAATTCGCTTTGCTCCCGTCAAGCACTGAGCCTCTTCTCTAAAACAAAAATAGAATAACTAACTAATTTAAATATTCGTACGGAAATTACAGTCGCCTTTCTTCGGGGCGAGTCCGGTTTCACTTGATTTCAAAAGGTTGCTCCCAAGCTATTTTCAATCGCGTCATCGTGGCACATTGGGGTTTCCAAGTTTGTTAATCTTATTTCCATGAACCTCTCGTGGGAATTTTTTGACCGAGAGTAATGCGGATTATGCTCTTCAGGTACATTGACGTATTCCATATCCTTAGGTTGTCAATATTAACATTACGAAAATCTAATTTTTCCACCGGCTTACCAAGGGTGAATGCTCCGCGCAGGTGAGATACGTGGGAGGACGCTACTTTTAAAATTAGAAATAATTATGTGTTTACTGATATTTTAAACCCAAGAGTGCTTCATTGAGTTACACGATTAATATTTTTATATAGACTATTAAAATTATGGTAATAGAAGAGATAATCAGACCTGTTATTTTAATGACGATAGTTTATTTAATTTCCGAAACACATATTATTAATAGCTTAATTATTATTGAATATATTTCTATTCTGGTGATTATCTTAAAAGTAGTTTTTACCAAGATAATAAGTTTAGAAAATCATAATGTCTTATATTTTATAATTTTATTAATTACAGAAAGAGTTCTAGGACCATCTATTTTAATCAGCATAATTCGACTTCGTGAAAATGATTTTATACAGTCATTAGTAGAATTAAAATTATAAAATATTTAATAGTAATTATGATTATAATTAAAGCAACCAAGAAATTAAGTTTTTACCATTCCACAAAGACGTACGCCACCGTTTAAGGGGTCATTCGCTCCCTTTGAGGAAATAATGGTACAGCCCATGCTAAAAATGACGAGGAGTATGTAAAACTTTCACGGAAGCACGCATCATTAGCATCCACAGCACTGACGCTTTTTAAACGTGCATATCGACGGTGTAAGTCGGCAATTACATATCTCGTTAGCGGTGTCTGAAAATCTCCGCCACCACGTTACTTTTTTTTTTGAGGAGAAAAAATTGGCATCATTCCTTGAAGTTATTGCAGAATTGCCGTTGAGTAGTTTTTTGTTTAAAAAATAAAGTATAACAGGAAGCCTGTGACGTCGCAAACCGAGTTATGTGATTGCCGACCTACACCGTCGATATGTTTGGAGACTTCAACGCATGGATAAAAAAGTAGAGAAAAGCTTATAAAGACCGTCGCCGGTCGTTACCACTGCCGAAACCATCCCCAACCGGAATCAGAGCGATCATCCAGGATTGCGAAAAAGGTCTAAGAAAATATATGAGGATTGCGCGAAAAAGGGATAAGGATTGCGCGAAAAAGGCACAAGGATTGCGCGAATAGAAACCTTAACATCTGCTACTGGAATGCGCGAATTTAAAATGAAGTTAATTTAAGGTTGAAGTTCGGCAAAACAGAAGACAGTTGGAAAATGAACGCATTTTTATGTTAACGCTAGTTTAGGTTAGTTTCTTGACAAGTCATCGATGTCTTACCTTCTGATAAAAGTAAAAAGATTCTTCTGAATAATGGTCGTGGGTATAAAGACATTTCCCAACTTTCCTCGGATAAAATATTTGATCGAAACGAGGCAAAGTTGGAATTCTCGCACGGCGTCGAAACACAACATGGGCCTTTTAAGCTCTTTCAATGCCGCGATTATTCTAACGCGGGTTTGAAAAATCGCGCCAAACACACAGTGCGGCCGGCGTCAAACGTATAGCGCCTGCAAGACTTCAAGAATACTTTACGCATTGCGCCAAACGGCACGGTCGGCGTTAGGCCCAAGTTAGCGCCTACAAGACTGCATGAATACTTCTCACATTGCGCCAAACGCAGTGCAGTTGGTCAGCTCAGTTGGCGTGAAACTTTTCACCGTTAAAGTGGGAATTTTCTCATTTTTAATTAAGCTTTTTCAATTTAGTTGGAAAATGAGAAAATCCCTAACAATTCACTTTCTATTGTCATGAATGAAAAATCCACCTTCAAAGATCCGTTCCCTCAGATCTCTAAATTGACTTTAGAGGCTACGTTTAGATGTTGAACCAATCGATATCGATACAATTTCAGTTGTTTCATGTATCGAGTATAATGTATGGCTCACCGGCATGCGGCATACGGTCTCTCGCCGGTTCCAATAAATTACGTTCACTAGTTTTTGAAAGAAAAATTACAGTATTTGTTATGAAGAGAAGTCTCGTCTATTCGGAACGGAGGTACGTGGTTGAGCAGATTCGCCATCGATATGTAGATGGGATGGAGTTGAAGTAACCCATAATCGATATGTCGAGGGCAATTAGTTAAATCAGGCATTTCATGAGATGCTAGGCAGATAGTCAAACTTTGACAGTTTTACAAAATTTTGTAAATTCATAGCAAAGAATTCTCGAGCTTTCAATATTTCGGGAAAAATAGTAAATCAAATCTACGAACTCTTCTTGTTGCTTCCTTTGCAAATTCCTGTAATACATTTAAAAATAAAAATTTTAAGATTCTGTATTTTATGGCATGCTAAAAATTTTAAGGTAGGTAAATGTTCGTTCAGGATCCTAAAATCGTTTTTGATACCATTTTATGATGCTTATGAGAGTTAAGAATGATGGCACGCAGTCCTACAGCATTCCTGCAGTCTTGTAGGCGCTAATATGCCTTGCACGCCAATCGACCGACTGCACTGCGTTTGGCGCAATGCGAGAAGTATTCAACCAGTCTTGTAGGCGTTAATATGGGCCTTACACCGACCGTGCTGTTTGGCGCAATGCGTAAAATATTCCTAAAGTCTTGCAGGCGCTATACGTTTGACGCCGGCCATACTGCGTGCTCGGCACGACTATTCGAACCCGCGTTAGAATAATCGCGGCATTGAAAGAGCTTAAAAGGCCCATGCTCTGTTTCGACAACGTGTGAGAATTCCAACGTTGCCTCGTTTCGATTGAATATTTTTTCCGAGAAAAGTTGGGAGATTTCTTTATACCCACGATCATTATTGAGATCTTTTTACTTTTAACAGAATTTTTAGTTACAGGAACACCAACTAACGCATTATTTAAACTTATTCTTTCAGGAAAATGTTCCTAACGAACGAGGAATACGCGTCCAGTTCTTCGAGAAAGAAATTCAGGTTTGACAGCGACTCCGATTCTTCAGTAACTTTTTCACCAGCTGACAGGAACAAACCTTTTCACCTACAATCACACGAACCCGGTAGTGACGTGGATGCTACTTCCAATAAGGTGAGAACAATACTTGACAATATGGCAAATTTTACAGGAATTTTTCTTGACGCTAATACCACCCTGTAAACGCTTAATGAGGAAGTGAGAAGTATCTAGTCTATCAACGAGGTAATCAATTGTTCATCTACAAGATGTGAAGTACAGTCAGAGGCAGCCCATGTGGATCAACTAGGGCCATGCTTGTTGATCAACAAGTTCCGAATGAACACCCTGTAGGGGATGAAAAAATTTATTGTCAGGTTCGGAGGGTGATCATCCCTCCTCTACCACCCTCCCGAGCAACCCTAGTGAGGTGGAAACAAAGGCGTTCGCTTTTCCGGATTTTCATTTTTGAAAATCCTCAATAAGGTTGACTTCCCGCATATAAATGATACAGCATATCGAAATGACCCGGGAAAAGTAAAGTTCCCGGAAAAGCGTTTCAATTTTCTAACAGTTGGTCGGAAAACACCCCCTTCACATGTACATTCACCTTTCAACCGCGTAATGCAAAATCGCACACCCCTAATGGGATAAAAGTAGTTCCTTGTAGATCGACTAGAGCCATGCTTGTTTATCAACAAGTTCCGAATGAACACCCTTGAAGGGGTGGAAAAAATTTATTTAAGGGTGCGGAGGTGTACAATAGGCTAGTGATGTACAACACAAATAGTGATATGACCCCTTCTTACCTTTTACTTGTAACTTATCACATTAAAACCTTATGTTGTCCTAACAGTTGCCAAAATAACAATTATTTTTCCTTGCTTCCAGGGATCGACAAGTGACGCTTCATGGCCGTGGTGCTCCACGCCTGCAGCCACAGAACAAGAGTGTGCCGCGTCGATAATAGGGTGTCTGTCCCTTTCGGATATTATGGAAGCCGACCTTTCGCACTCGGAAGCACCGCCATCTACGACGGAGGAAACGCAGTTAGTTTCACAGTTGCCCCCCGACAATCCAGAAAGGGAGGAGAAAGAATCTATACCATTTTAAAAAATAAATGGTTACTTCTTTAATGAACAACTTTTTACATAAATAACATAAAATTTATATCATGTCAACAGAATAGTACAAAATAAAATTATTTTTCACATTACATTCTGTGCATCATTAGAGTTTGCAACTAAGGTTAGATTTCAATAGAAATTATTTCTTTTCTGTCCTTTATCATTTATACTTTGATCATTTAAAATTTAACTCGTTGGAAAAAAACAGATATTTTTGCATTGACTTTCCGTGGGAATAACGGGAAAATATTATTTTTGAAATTATTACTGTCTCAAATTAAGGTGATTAATACATAATATATTTAAAATCTAGTTTTGACTAGTAACAGTTTTGATGTCAAATAATAAAAGAGGAATCTAATAATGCCGGAGATTAGTAATTTATCAATGAACATATAATCAAGTATCGACTGATTTTTGGTTTCAGTACAAAAAGACGTATCTACCGTTACAATGAGCCAGTGGCGATCCTTGCAAGTTAGCAACACTGTTTTCCTCAATTTAAATGGACGTATTTCTATCAAACGGAACTATGTGCATTAAGATATGAGCCCTGAGACCCATAAGAATATGTGCATAACAGGGCTCACGTCACAATGCACATAGTTCTGTTTGATGGAAATACGTCCAAATGTATGTTGAAAAATCGATTCTAGATAGGGCAGTCTGTTTAAGTCTAGTATATTCGATAATGTTGATTCAAAAGTGTTTTTATGAGCTAAAAAGACACTCATAAATGAATATTAGTTCATGAATAAAATGTAATTGACCAAAAAAAAATAAAAAATAAATAAATAAATAAAAAAAGAGAAAAAACGAACAAACAAAAACCTGAAGATTGTGAGTCTGTAAGGACACTTCATGAAGTCAACGAACTATTTACAAAGGTAGTCTGTGGGAGAGGGCTCCCTTGTGTACATCTTGAAAACCAAACAATTAATATAGTATCAGAGGAGATATCATGATGTTCGGGTGAAATCAAACTCTGTACGGACCACAGTTTTTCTCCACGGAAGATTGAAGTACAATGAAAAGGTTACTCAAGTTAGATATGTGGGCGTATTTGGGACCAAAGGATATCTTCAAAGATTGCATTACCAGTTCTCGTAACCTCCAAAACAATACATTAATTTTTACTGGGAAAGCTTCCTAAATACATATCTCTCACAGAAAAATAAATAAATAATGTGGTAACGAGTTTGTCCCTTTTTTCAATTTAAAGTGATGATTAAGGAGAATCAGGCACAAAAAGCGGATGAGAGTCCATCCCTCCCTATTCTCTTTCCCACTGGTTAGGGGAGTTAGCGAATTTAAGGGATGGCTTATGACTACTCATTTTGCTTATTTTCTGTGAGCATCGCGTGAGGCATGTTTCGTGCAGTTGGCTCCTATGATTTGCTGCCGTGCAAAGCTCATGTCATATTATTTTACTTTTTATTTAGACTACATTTTGTAATTCGGAACTAAAATTTCTGGTTCATCGGTAAAAAAACACTTGGAGGACTACCTAAGGAGCAGGGATCGGGGTAAGATGTGATTTGATCGGAAAATGTATCGCGATTATATCAACGTCGATTTGTTGCGAATTATCGGTTAAAAAATTGCGATTTCCTTACATAAATTTGCGATCAAATCGCGATGTTATGGGTGGCGATTTATCGAAATATTATCGAACAAAGAATCGCGATAAACTGAGATAAAATTTAGATTTTTTTCGATTGCAATTTTGAAGAAATAAAATTGCAGCAAGAATGAGGATAATCGCTCAGATTTTGATGATCTTAGCGATTTTGTCGCCGAAAAATTGGAGAAAAATCGCAACTTACTTTCAAGATATCACAATTTTTTCCGCTGAAAAATGCAACTTGCGTAAGAGCACATATGAGAACCTTTCCGACGAAACAGCTTAATGTCAATGTTGCTAAAACTGTCCGTACATTCAACTGCTTAGTTGTTAGAGAGCGTAGGTTCCGTTCTGAAATTTGCCTTATGTTTCCTTTCTATTTTTTTTTAATATTTTGGCTGAGAAATTTTTAATGAAATGTGGGCGATTTCGAAAACTTGAAAAAAAAGGACAAGTTGCACAATCTTACAGTTAGCGACGTTGACATGGGTTTTCGCTGTTTGGTCGATAAGGTCCTCATGTGATGTTTTTAAACCGAGTCAGAAATTACAGTTCCTAATTGAATCGGTCATTCCCAAAAAGTCTTAGGCGCCAAAAATGGATATACGAGAAAAACTGTAATCACCATCTCAATTGACCTGTTCTAAATCTCAGAGTTCTAAATTATGAAAGCCATGAATAAATTAATGACATTCTTAATTAAGATGCGGTTTAAAACGGGTCGTTTATCACTGTTTTTCTTGTATTTTTATAATTGGACGTATTTCTGTCAAACGGAACTAAGCGCCATAGGGTGAGGAAGGTAGAGGGGGGCTTGGAATTGCGGCGAAACCGGGCGTCGGGCTCGTTCCGTCCTATACTCGCAATGCTTTTCCATGGCGCTTAGTTCCGTTTGCCAGAACGCGCTATCCGGCATTCAAAATTCCTCAAAAGGAACTCAAATTGGCGCTTAGTTCCGTTTGACAGAAATACGTCCATTAGCGCTTGAGACTTTTCGAGATGGCCCGTTCGATTTTGTAGTCCATTTGGCACACATCAGACTAAACCCAGATCGGACTGCGTGGAGTCGATATTGTTCTTGTTCAGCTTGTCCGCGGCCATGTTGACCTCGACGAGGGTGTCCACCGAGTTGAGGCTGATCCCGTTCAGGATGTTCTGGGCCGCCAGGGAGGTGAAGTTGAGCGGGAAGTCGTTCAAGTCCGGGAAAATGATCTCGTCACTCTTCATATCCAACTTGCCGTGCGGCGCCGTCGACTGCTTCAGCAGGGCAAGCGCGGATGCGAAGGAGGAGAGGGGAAAGGTCACCGGATTCGTCAAGTCGTTGCACGACTTGGTCGGGCTCGGCGACCTGGACCTGATGATGTTCTTCTTCTGTTGATCGGGGTCCTCGGCCGAATCCTTCAGGAGGTTCTTGTAGCTGATGGAGTCGATCAGCTTGTCCCGGTCGCTCGAGACGAGGGGTTTGGTGACTAGAGATGCCTTCCGAGCGTTATTCAACTGAGTTTCACTGCTGAAACTTGATAAGCTCATCGCATCAATCAAACCGTTGATCTTCATCTCGGTCTCCTTCCAGGGTGACGTAGCGTTGAGCGGCTTCGTCTTGCCGTCGATCAGGGAATCCAAACACTTCTCCTCCAGCTGGATCGTCTCCGTCGAGGGGAATTTCATCTTCATGTGGCTCTCCGAGAACTTGGGTCGGTCGACGGTCATGAAATCGTCCAGATTCGTTTCCTTCGAGTACAAGGACGACGGCCTTTCGTTCTGGGCCCGCTGCGGCCTGTGGGTCTCCTTCGAGAGTGAGTGTTTGCTGCCTCGGTCCAAGGACCCGCCATTCAGGATAATAATGTTATCGGTGTTGGGTTTCTCCGAGCTACCTTTCTTCGGGTAACCGTTCTCTAGGGTGATGAGGGACCGCACCGGGGAGTTCTGTTGTTGGACGAAGATGCGAGTTTTATTTCCACCGTTGATGGTCGTTGTTAAGGTTGTTGAGTTGTGGTCGCTGTTGGACGACGAGTCGACGGTGGACTTGTACGAGAGGTTACCGTTGGGCTGGTTGTCGCTGCAGTAGCGGTTGCTCCCCTGCCCGTTCTGACTGAGGACCTTGACGGTGAAGGAGCTCTCGCTTGGGGTGGAGTAGCCGGAGAGTTTGGGTTTCTCGTAGGGGGACTGGGGGTTGTAGTTGAGGAAGCGGTGCTTGCTCGTGGTGGAGCGCGGGAGGGAGTTGTAGCCGGAGGAGGAGCTGGACATGGACTTGGCGACCGGGGAGCAGAGCCCGCGGGACTCGATGACGGACTTGGCGGAGCCGATGGAGGCCGTCGTCTGGGGGATGGAGAGCTGGGAGGCGGCCGGGGAGGGGTGGTTGGAGGCGGACTGGAGGCTGCTCATGCCGATGAGGCGGCGTGGTAACGTGGCGCTGTGCGGGGCTCGCCGCGGGGTGTGCACCTGCGGGCTCGTCACCACGCTGGACGAGAGGTCGTGGTGCTTCCGGTGCCGGGAGAGGGTTGAGGATCGGGAGAGGGCTTGGTCCTCCATGTCCCAGCTTTGGAAGCTCCGGTACGAGCGGCCCAGGTAGCTGTCGCTCCCGGTCTGCGGAATGATAAAAAATATTATTAAACACTGCTATGAAATCATTCCCAAGTAGCAGAGGTTGCGACAACTTGCAACAAAATCGTTTGATTCTTATGAAACTAACAGATTGATGTGCAGATTGCCTACTCTCTCCCCCGAAGGAGCTATCATTGTTAGAACTAGTTGCAATTAAGTTTCAAGGTATTGCTGGTTGCCTATCTTTAGATTTTAAACAACTTCGGTTCAGCAATTTTGTGATCTCAGCAGGTTGCAGCTTTATCTTCCGATCAGATCGCCGAAAATCGGCACTTATCGACCAAAAGTTGACCGAAAGTTGAAACTTTGTTACAACTAATACCAACATTGTTTCAACTTGTTGCAACTTTTACATTGAAAAATGCTACTTGAGTTGGGGGTTTTCTCATTTTTAAATGAGGGGCTTGGAAGACGAGTAGAATAAGAGCAGATTTTGAGACAATTGAAATATTAATGATTTCAACTAAAATTAGTCTTTTTTTAATTTTACTTTTTCATTATTGTGTTCTTCTAACAAGAAGTAGGTGTACACATTGTTCTTAAGGATGAATTAAAGTGGAGTATACAAACTACTGGGAAGGTTGTAGGACATTCCTCTACGATTTGTTGTCCGAGCACTTGTTTTTTCCAGTAGTTTAAGTCCAAGCGTTTTTTCGACAGGGGAGTTTTGGTCCACTTACCAATTGTATGAGATCCAAAGTTCAGATCTTTAGTCAACATGTAAATACAAACAACATTTGCTCACGGCGTTTTTGGATGAAATGTACATATAATGTCTTGGAAGAATGAGGGTTTTCTCGTTTTTTGTTTGTTTGGTTGGTCAAACGGAAACAAATATATAATTGAGAATTTTGGTGTCAATTCCATGGGGGAAAATTCACTGAAACTCTCTAAACATCTTTGGTGCAACAGGACTTAATAATTTTTCCAGAAAATCCCATCTTCTTATACTTGAACCGGATGAACCTTTTGATTTTCCTCAGCTAAAGGCTCTTAGATTTTTCCTTCCCTAGAACTTCGCGACGGCGCTGGCGTGCCGCGGCGCTTCAAACTACTATTTCGCCATGGAAGTGTTGCACAGCCTCATACAAGATTGAAGGCACCCCAACGTATCATGGTTCATGGCATCTTTCAAAAGCACGAAGTTCCCTCGCAAATTAAATCGAGTGACGAAAAAAAGAGAGCTGTAGTCACAAAACTTGCTAAGTCCTAGTATCTGGATTCAGTAACGTTTAGCATGATTTTTGAACTTAATTAGAGGAAAAAGTGCCTTGATTCAAGCAGAACTATGCTCAAATTTACCGCCGAGAAGATTCCCTTATAGATCAATAAAGAAAATAATGCCTGTTTAGAGAAAAAAGAATGCTTAAATAAAAAGATAAGTCACTTAGATCAAGCAGAAACCCGCTTTCATTCAGCTATTTTATTCTTGATTCAAAATGAAAGCTTCTTGACGGCATACTCAAGAACGTTTCTGCCTAAATCGAGTCACATTTTTCTCTAATGAAATTTAAAAATTATGCTAAACGTTATAAACTACGGATGCTAGGACTAAGTGAGTTTTTTTTTTTTTAGATTATCGCTCTCTTTTTGTAACGTAGTATCTTGATTTATTTTGCAAGGAAAGCTACAACCATTAAAGGAAGCTTGTCATTCTTGATACGTTGAAGCGCCTTCAATCTCGTATGATACTGTGTAACACCTACGTCTCAAAATAGTTGCTTGAAACGCCGTAGCACTCCGCGGCGCGGCGGGCAACCAGCGTGATACGCGCATAGGCGCCTGCAAACCTAACAGGGATACTTCACGCATTGCGCAACGCGTGAAGTGTCCGGTTAGATTTGTAGGCGCCAGTGCATTTCGCTCTGTGTTACGCTCTAATATTTAAACTCGCGGAGTCAGCGTTTTACAACTCATGATTTTGAAATGTTTGCACGCTCTGCACGGATTATTCTCATTTAAATTGATGAAAAAAAATATGTATTGAAGGAAAATATAACGTGTGTTTTGAAAATATTAAGGTGGTTCCGTACCTAATTTAATGATTTCCAAAGCTTTTTTAATTTTTATTTTATATTTTGTGCTTTTACTGAGCTGCAGCGTGGTGTATTCGCAACAAAACGCTCAAAATTGGACGTGTTTGACTGTAAAAGATCGATGAAAAAGTCGTTCAAGTCCGGGAAAATGATCTCTTTGAAGTTGGTTTTTTCTCTCTCTTTTTCATTATTGTATAGTTCCTGTCAACATAAGTTCGGCTCATTGAGATTAATATCGATGCCATCGCTTGGAAAAGGTTTTACAAATATTTGCCACGTTTTAAAAATATAATGTTTTTAAAATAAAATAATATTATCATTTAAAAAAAGGTATACACCTAGATACGGTATATTTTAAATCGACAATTTTATAGATGCAAATAAAACCAAATATTCACCAATGAAAATTTGAAAGATGAATCAAAAGAAGAGTAACATTTCATTTAAAAAATGAGTTACCCTAACAACACCTTCTTCTCTCTCAATTTTCTAATTCGATATTGTCAATATAATTTTACACACGGACTGAGTTATAACCTTTGGACCAAGTCACTGTTCCTTATTTTACGCGTGGACGTAAATTACTGGACTAAACAGGTGTCCGGATTAAAAATCGTTGACGGAATGCCCTGAAACCACTGGGAAATGTGTAACTATTTACGTGTAAAAATAAAACTAGTCTTGAAATATGCCCGCTTCTCTGACGGAATCAAAGAGTTCTTCAGTTAAAAATAACGTCGAATGTCCTGCTTTTTAGTGTTTTTAATGTTTTAGCCTTGTCTACCCATGTTTTAATTCAATCCTTATTTATTGTTAAAAATAAATTAATGTTAGCACTCACCTCCGACAAATTGCAAGTTTGAGTCCCAACAGAGTGGAGATGAGCGACACTTTTGTTGAACCACTCGGTGGGTGGTGGACTTTGATTCGAGAATGGCAAATTGAGAGAGGAATTCTGCTTCAGTCGGAGACTACTCCGGAAGAATCTTGTCAACAGCGAAAAGGTCGATCGCTCTGAAAAAAGACACAAAACCACCGAATGAGTCGCTGAGGAATTAAATAAAGTCATGGCATGCGTGGCGTGCTTAGCGATATATCGATTGATTTGCCATTTAAACCTATGGAGAAGAATCTATGAACAGGGTGTTCGCAACGAACGCCTTAATAATCAATTCTTTACCATACCTTAAAATGGGGGAAATATCGATGATCGATAATTCACGCCTCGCCACCGATCAAAAGGATGCATCAAATCTAACTGATCCTTTCACTATGAATTTTTTTCAGAGGAAAGTACTCTCAGGAAATGAAAGAATTTAACATTCCAAAATTATTCCGATTTCCCAAAATAATATTTGGAGTGTTGAGATAAAAAATTGCATTTATTTCATGACATGCGGTCCAACACCCTCTACTTTGCGAAAATTCGCAACCAGGATCGCAAGCAAATAACTCTCTTCTGTTTCAAGTTGGTGAAACCTGTAAAATTAATCGAAATTTCACGTTGTGACAACTGAAGTTCGTTGCCGTAATGGAACTTTTCCGTTTGTCCCATAATTTTCCCTACATAATAGTTTATTATCCCGTGAGCCAATTATTGAAAGTTTATTGTAGAACGATCAAAATACGATATATTGGATGGTTACGATGGGGCTATATCTTGTCTTGTTGCGTCGGTATGGATCGAATAGTTGGGCAGCAGAGTGGTATATCAGTAATCAGGAAGAGAGTTGTAAATACATTGACGGACGAGGGATTTTTCATAATATGCTTGAAAAGCATATAAATTCTGATAAAAGAGCCGCAACAGAGTGTGGTTTATTACTCGTGGCGTCTGCTGCTTTAGAAGTTGCGTTTAGATTACGCTGTCGTGCGCGCGATGAGTAAACATCTCACGTTGCGCCTGCATTTCGCTTGGACGCAATAATCTATACACCTGAGGTTGCCTCGGTTTGGGAGTGAGCAACCGTTGTGCGCTGCGTTTAGTAGAAAGGAACGAAGCCACATCAGCTATCGCCAAATTTAATTGGGCAGTTTAAAGTTTTACATGGAAACGGCTGAGCAGATTTTTATGCAAATTTAAGTTAATTTCCTGCATAGTGCGAAAGTTAATTCCTTAAAATTTTCAAAGGAACCCTCATACAAACGTTATTTTGTAGAAAAAATTAGATCGCCCAGTTAGATTTGGCAATTGCTGATGTAGCTTGGTTCTTTTCTGCTTAACGCTGTCCAGTTATGGCTCTCATTTCCTCGGTGTTTTTAAAGGCAAGAATTTTGTAATTTTCCTGTAAGATTACACGAAAGATATAACTTACTTGTGACCGGCCTATCTGATTTGATGGTAGTTTCAGTCGGTATGTATTTCAACGAACCACTTCGTTGCAAAGTTGCTTGTCGCTTGGAGCTGGCCGAGATTCTCAGAGAATGCCTCCGTTCCAATTTCCGCGGCGGTAAACTTTGACTCCTTTTACTGGGTTTCCTCGCGTAGAGGACTTTATCATTCGGATTTCCTGGAAAACCAAGGGCAAAATATTGAGTTTTATTTGGCGCTTCTATCGATCATGATTTTTGAAATAATTTAATTGTTGGTCTCCTCTTTGTAATTTAAAACTTCGAAAATATTTTTAGGAATGCTGTGCTCTTCCGAATTTTTTTTTACACATATATTTTTTTTAGCTTATTTTCATTGTAAGATTATCTTCTGACATAACGTTAGCGATGGTGACAAAGTGCCCGCAGATTCAGAAACTTCTTGAAAGTTCTTGATATAGACTCCGGAAGTAGTCAGTGGCGTGGCGTGCATTGCGATGTATCGATTGTTATGCCATTTAAACCTATGATAAAGAATCGATTATTAAGGTGGTCGCTGCGAAAACCCTGACTATCGATCCTTTTCCATAGGTTTAAATGGCATAACAATCTATACATCGCAATTCACGCCACGCCACTGGAAATAGTGCGTTGACCAGCGGATTTCAACAATTTTGATGTGCTCATCATCATTTTTGAGCAGTTTTAGCCACCAGACGTTAACTAGTTTATCTATAACACTGATCTATAAGTAAATCAAAGCCAAAAAAACACAAATTAGAATTGGAGCCTCGAAATTAACTCAAGTTGGTGCGCGCAAATCAGCGTTCCAGTGCATCTGCCTGAGAATCCTGAGATGAGCAACCCCCCCTCAGTTTTGCACTGAAATTCATTAGAGAGCATTTGGTAACCAGTGTTCGAAACTCACAGGCGCCAACGCGCCAAATACGCCCATGAAATCGGTCATGGCGCCTAAAAAATGAAGGCTCTGCGCCATCGTGGCCCCTAAAAATACCAGATCCCCCCAAAAAGTCCTAATTTTTCTGTTAGGTGATTTTTGGAGCTTTTCTCTTTCTCAAGTTACGGCTATTATTTCTGCATCTACAACATCTTGAGTCTAACTTTTCACTAGATGCGCCGATAAAGGCAAAAAGCCAATTTGGCCCCTAAGAAATATTCAATGACCCCTAAAAGTCGAGCTTGATGGGCCACATGGCTCCTGAAACTCAAAGGTGAGTTTCGAACACTGTTTGTAACTACAATTCTAATTTTCGCTTTTCTCTAGCTTTGAATTCCCCGCACACGGAGAAAAAAACTTCGTGCGTGAGACCCAAAGTTTAGGTCATATGGATCTCTGAAGTTTTTGGATTGAACATCTGAACACTTTAGGTCCAGCTTCTGAGGTTTGGATCACACTTCTGAAACTTAAGTTCTTACATCTGAAGTACTTAGGTTTTCACATCCGAAGAACTTCGGTTCTCACATCCGAAAAACTTCGGTTCTCACATCCGAAAAACTTCGGTTCTCACATCTGAAGTAATTCAGATGTGTGATCCGAATCTCGACAGCTAGCCCTTAAGTGTTCGGATGCTCAATCCGAAAACTTCAGATATCCATATGACCTAAACTTCGGGTCCCACGCACGAGGTTTCTTTCTCCGTGTACTTACAGCATTCGGACCATATTTTTCGTGCTTTCTTCTTCTCCTTTATACACGTATATCTCTCTCTCGAGTGCAACAGACCCATTTTCCTGGATGAGGGCATCCACTTCGGAAACACCCTGTAGAAATGCGAACGAAAGCTCCGGGATATCCCTACGCTAATAGAGAGTGCGGGAAGGTGGCGAGGAGAGTAAGGAGGCAAGAAGGGCAAGGCGAAGTGAGATGGGGCGAGAGTAATACCTTTGCAGATGATATCAGCGAGATTGGTTTGAACCGCTTGATGGGTGAGGTCACCGTCGCGGATGGTCTCCATGTCGCCGAGGGCGCGAACGAGGGCTTCGTCGGGGGACAGCAATAACGGCTTCTCGCCGTCCTCGTAGGGGCCCCGCGCGTAGCGACTCCTGCCGCCTCCCCCGCCGCCGGCCAGGCTGCTGCTACTGCTGCTCCCGTACTTGGAGTAGAGTCGCCGTGTCTCCGGCGTCACCACGAAGTACCCCCGAGATGTCTGATAAACCTGCGAGCAATAATAAGGAAGTGCCAACTTCATTCACTCGGCTCCCCGGCTATCATTATGAATAGCTCAGCCCGTGCCCCCTACGACCTGTACCCTTGTTTAATCAACAGCTCAGTTAGTCGAGGAATGGAAATTCGAAGCGTCCCGAGCGCCACCGAGTGTTCCAGAGATTTTGCGAGTTGTACACGGAGAAAAAAACTTCGTGCGTGGGACCCGAAGTTGAGGTCAAATGGATCTCTGAAGTTTTCGGATCTCGCATCTAAAAACTTGAGGTCCAGCTGCCGAAGTTCGGGTCAGACATCTGAAGTACTTCGATGTATACCGAAGGGTTCGGGTCACACATCTGAAGCACTCCGGCATAAACCGAAGTGCCTCGATGTCTGACCCGAACGTCGGCAGCTCGACCTCAAGTTTTCGGATGCGTGATCAGAAAACTTCAGAGATCCATATGACCTCAACTTTGTGTCTCATGCACGGAGTTTTTTTTCTCCGTGTACTGTGAGAAATCTGGAGTGCAGCTGACTCCGGAGCAAAATTGAATTAGTGAGAACAGAAACACATCAACTCGAAAAAATGAAAAAAATCAAGACACACACACACACACACAACCGCACAGAAGGTGAAGAAGTTAGTCTAAGTAAAAAATTGTGGGTGCCTCAAGTACTTAAGGACGCTTCAAAGGTTCGAGTTGGAACAGATGCGCTAACTTCAATGACCTTTATGAAAGTGATTGTCATCAATGAAAATGAGTATTTTCGAGTTACCGAGTTGGTGTGCTTTCGTTCTCACTGATTCATTTTGTGTTCACACTGAGAAATAAGTAACGGGCGATATGGACATGCCGTCAGTTCCGGGCTCAGAGGCCGAAAGTTCCGGGTGCTGGAGCCTTAGCTTCGATTGCTCCGGGTGCTGCGTCCGGCACTTTTGGCCTCTAAGCCCGGAACGTGGACGGTACGTCCATATAGCCCGTAAGTACGGCTTCCACGGCCAGGGTTTCCTTTATCAGTGCGGAAAACTCGAATTATATGGAGGAGTGCAATCCGCTCCGATGTGGGCTGATTATTAAAATTGATAGACAAAACGATGGACACGGATGTCAAAGAGAAAATGGAGTGATCCTATTCGTGGAAGCGCGAGGTTGCAATTGATAAAGCAATAGTAATAGGCTGACTAACGGCAATTCACGGGAAACCCTATACACAACCACTCGTTTCAACCAAGAGGAGAGAGGAGTGCTCTAATTTCTCTGCGTCCTCTTTGTCTACAGCTTTGTTTATCAATGTAAATAATCGCCCCGCCAAGGGATACAATTTTAGCCACAAAAATGAGTAGATTTCGCTCGTGCAGAACGGAATGCACTCCTTATTCATATTACTGGCGTTTCCAAGGAAGCGCAATAGGCTCCAAAGTCAACTGCTAACCAGTTAGCATTCCAAAATTTTTGATAGTGTTATCACCTGTGATCAGAAAAAAGTGCTGACATTTTAAGTCAGAGGTGCCAAACGATTTTCTGGAAAAAATTCAAATTCCGCAGGAAAATTTTGGGACGATGTAATATAATTATTCTTTTTTACTAGGAAACAACAAACTTATGTGCCCTATTACAATCTCTATCGTAGTCATCTAAGAAGAATGCCCAATTTTTAAAACAGTCGGTTTAAGACGTTCCGAAGTTACATTCTTCAACAAACTGAATAGTTGATTTAAATACTCGATATCAAATAGATTGTATAAACTCATTCTAGTATTAAATGTATGGTAAACGATGGATCCGTACGGTCTAAGGGCACAATTACCAGTCCATTCCCCATAAAAATCATTCCTTTAACCCTTTATATTGAAGGCTGAGACCTGTAAAAATGTAAAAGAGTGCGAACATTTTCATGAAATATCTTATTCGTAAAGAAATATCAATAGTAGGAGGGTATGTTTCAAAAATAATAAACTTTTTTTCGTCGAGCAAAACAATTTTGTTCGAGTAAATTGCAAGAGTTATACTCGTAGATCAGATCACGTGACCACGACTCATGAGTCATATCTTACGGCAGAATGTGCTAGACAATTTGCCCGCCTCAGAATTGAAGGAGCTCAGCTTCACGTTCAGCATTAGTAGGTGTCTCTTAGAGGTCTCGTTGAATAAAAAATACAGAGACAAGATCATGAACCAAACATATTCATTTTCTCAGTAGTACGCTACCCCTTCAAATTAATTTATTAGATTCTTTAGCAGAAATACGTCCAATTTGTGTACTTCTTTCCTTCTGAGCCACAATCCCTCTGATGTAGACTTAGCACAATAATTGTAACATCCCATTACTCTATACGTGTATGGTTGTGGAATTTCAACTACTTTAGTAGCTCTTTTGCGATGCATCCAAAACTGTTGATAAGTTTTGCACATTCAGGAAGAGGAATATAATTCTTACTTTGCTCATGGTGAATTCCTCGTTCAACTTAAAATTTTAGTTACGTATAAGATGCCACTTTCATGATAACAGCACTTTAGGTCCCCGTGACAATACTGCATTGTTAGTAGGATCGAAAGAATGGTTAACACAAGAGTAAAGTTTTGAGGAGATTTGTATTTTAGGTTAAGCCTGAATCCACCATGATCACTGTAAGAGCTCCGATTCTTTTCTCTCCGTATACCTCTGTCGAAGGAGCCACTTCCTACTAAAATTTTTCTAGGTATGTGTTTATGAGCTCTCCTGAATGGGATATGTTTAAATATATTACCACTTTATCAGTCATTAGTTTGGCTAGGGCATCGTAGACTATCTCCTCAGAGGGACACTCCATATCGGGAAAAGCTAGTCGCAGAGTGGCGCGTATATTTTCCAAAACTGCCGCTTGTCCGCTTGAAGTTAGATCCAGGATGACCCAACATAGCGCCTCCGGCAATGGGGTAAACTGCCCCTGGCTGATTGGCTGCACCAAGCAATCCTCCACATCCCCTGTGCCACAAAACGAACAAATAAGAACACTTCTACCAAATTAGGTAAGAGAATATTAATTTTACACAAATCGGAATTGCATCATACGTATATGTATAATTTTCTTGAGGGACTTGCACTGTCGAAATGTACTGCTTTGAAAATTTTGTGCGCGATTTTGTCAAAACTTAGAAATTTGACATCCATCGTTAAATGGACCGCGTTAGCCAGAAAGGAACTAAGCTACATCAGCAATTGCCAAATTTAATTGGGTAATTCAGTTTTTCACATGAAAACGGTTGTGCGGATTTTTGGGCAAATTTCGGTGAATTTTCTACTTAGCACGAAGCAAATTCCCAAAATTTTCAAAGGAATCCGCACAAACGCTCTCTTGGAAAAATTAAATCGCCCAGTTAAACTTTACAACAGCTGATGCGGCTTGGTTCCTTTCTGCTACAAGCGGTCCAAATGGCTTTTTATGCATGGTTGAAGCGGCTTGATCGTAAAATGGACCGCGTTTAGTAGAAAAGAGCCAAGCGACATCAGTTATTGCCAAATTTAACTGGGCATGTCAATTTTCTACAAGAGAACGTTTGTGCGGATTCCTTTGAAAACTTTAAGGAATTTTTCTCGTACTAAGCAGAAAATTCACTGAAATTTGCGACAAAATCCGGACAACCGTTTTCATGTAAAATATTTAATTGCCCAATTAGATTTGGCCATAGCAAATGTGGCTTGGTTCCTTTCTGCAAAACGCGGTCCAAAGACTTTTTATGGAACGTTGAAGCGGCTTGATGGTAAAATACACGGAAAAAATTAAATGGCTGATTTAAAAATTCAATCGCTAAAAAAAAACGACTGCAACGTCTCAACGTAGATTTCACATTAAAAAACGCTGCGTGGTTGAAGTAGCATTTTTGTTGTTGTAAAATCTACATTGAAACATTACAGTCACTTCTTTTAGCGATTGAATTGTTAAATCAGCAATTTAATTTTTTCCGTGTACACTTGCGCGACTTTTACCCCCGTTTTCCTGGAGCAGAAATTTGACGGGGAAAGGACGGAAAGTGCCCGCGGGATAGAGAGGGAGTGGGGCATCATTAGTGGGCCCGGGGCTGGGAGTGGCCCCGGTGGGTCCGGTGCTGGGGCCGGGCGCGGGCAATTAGCCCCGGCGAAACGAAACGGTTGCGTCAAAGGAGATCCACGGGCGATAAACCCGTTGCGAATTGAAGTAGTGAAGAGGACCCGGTCCCGCGGCTGGCGCCCCTCCCTCAGGAGGCGCGATCCGAAGACGGCGCCGGCCGGAAGCTCAAAATCAATAGGAGAGACGTCGCTTGGGCAGGCCGGGGCCGGGGTTAATTCCTCGGGACTTTCACCGTGAACTTTGAGACATGGCCAAACTAGGAGAAGAAAAGTTGGACGGAAACTGAAGAGATCATGAACTTGTTAGCTACGGCCGGGGGCCCGAGCGGGCAGAGTGAGCCTCAGCAGGGACACGTGAAAGGAGTTTGCTTCGTGAGCTCCGAGTTGATGACACTGGTTATTTGTTTAAAAGGAGTCCCCGGTCACGGAGACCCGAGGACCGAGACACTCTCCCCGCCCGAATCCGTGACGCGCCGACGACGTCCGCCAACGTCCTCACCCCGTCCGCGATGCCACGTCCGCGTCTTTGACGACGTCATCGATTCATTACACCCATCCCGATCCCGGAGCATTGCTAATTATCCGAGAGCTCAATTACGCGCTCCCCGGCTCCGGCTCCCAGTATTTATGTGTCTGTTTCTTCTTTTCAATGCTCTACCCTCGCTCTGGCTAGGGATTTATGGGAGGAGGGGCTAAAGTCTGAAAACCCGAGGAATTTTTCGCATTTTTCTTTTCCTCATCTTCCTTCTTTATCTTCATCATTCCTTCTCCTCTTCGTTCTATCCTCTTCTTCCTTTCTCCTCTTCGTTCTATCCTCTTCTTCCTTTCTCCTCTTCTTCATTCTCTCTCCTTCATTCCTCCTCTTCTTCATCCCTCTTCTTCTTCAGTCCTCTTTTTCTTCATCCCTTCTCCTCCTCGTTTTCTGCTACTCCATTCCTCTTCTTCTACATCCCTCCTCCTCTTCCTTCTTCCTCTTCTCTGTCTTCGTTTCCTCCTCCTGCTCTTACAGCTCCCCCTCCTCCTCTTTTGCTCTTACTGCTCCTCCTCCTCCTTCTTTTGCTCTTTGATAATATATTCTCTCTACGTTTTCTTCTCATTTACCACCTCCTTCTTTTGATTAAACACCCCTTTTAGACAATACCTTTTCCTCTAAACAATTTATGTGTTGAAGGGATGGGGTACTTTCTTGTACATTCCCAAGAAATTCAGTGCCTTCGTCCGAAGAAAAATTCAGTGCCTCCATTTAACGAAATTCGAAAACTTCAAAAGTTTGAATTTCTCTCTCAAATTTCGACAAAAATGACAAGAAAATGAAAAATATTACGGGCCTGTTGGCGGAATTTCCGCACTTTTTCAGTATTTCCGAACCGCCCTTAAAAAATCAGTCCAATTTCCGGACTTCCCGGAAATTCCGGACTTGTAGACACCCTGAGCCATGAGTATAGTAGGGATTGTGATACGTTTTTTTCGTATGCACCTTATCCTCCAAACCCTTCAAACGCGTCCATCTGACATCGACGAAGTAACGCTGGGCATCTATCCGCGCTGGAAGTTCCGCCGTCGTCAAGGATGCTATTTCCCGGTAGGTCGTGCCCCGAGACCCGAACGTCGACAACGGCAACCTACGCGGCATTGGGACGAAGACGAGGCGGAGTCGCAGTCAAAAGTTCGCCACCGCGATTGTCATGCTCAAGCGGGACTCGGACAGAGACACGACCTCAGAAAAAGGAAAGAAAATAAGAAGAAAAACAATAAGCGACTTAATAATCAGCGCAAAGTTTCTCCAAACTCGAGCAACTTGACTCGCGGATCCACGTAACTCGAGCGGATTATGAAAGACGGAGGAAATGTTCGCGCTTTGACTGGGACTCGGGTGGGTCACGGGAACCGGCAATGAATATTGAAATGAGTCCGGTGAAGTTCTCTCATTGATTCCGCCGGACAGAGAGATTTTTCGAGTGTTCCAGCGAAAAAGAAAGTCGGGACGGATCAAAAACCAGAATAAATAACATGACGGATCCGCGGGCAGAACGAAGGTCTGTCCGGATTCCTCTTTTTTATTCCTCTTCTTCTTCATCCCTCCTCCTCCTCGTTTTCCGCTACTCCATTCCTCTTCTTCTTCATCCCTCCTCCTCTTCGTTTTCCTCTACTTTATTCCTCTTCTTTTTCATCCCTCCTCTCCTTCAATCATCCTATTTTTCATTCCTCTTCTTCTTCATTCCTCCTCCTCTTTATTCTTCCTCTTTTTTATTCCTCTTCTTCTTCTTCACCCCTCTTCCCCTTCATTCTTCGTCTTCTCTGTCGTCGTTTCCTCCTCCTGCTCTTACTGCTCCTCCTCCTCTTCCTTCGTTTGCTCATTGATAATATTTTTTCTCTAAGTTTTCTTCTCATTTACCACCTTTTTTTTTTTATTTAACACCTCTTTTAAGGAACAAAACCTTTTCTTTTCAACAATTTATGTGTTAAAGGGATGGGGTACTTTTTCAATACATTCCCAAGAAATTCAATACCTCCTTCCAAAGATAAATCCATTGCCTCCATTTGGCAAAATTCGAAAAATTCAAAAATTTGAATTTCTCTGAGCGGATTATGAAAGACGGATGAAATGTTCGCGCTTCGGGTGGGTCACGGGAACCGGCGATGAATATTGAAGTGAGTCCAGTGAAATCCTCTCATTGATTCCGCCGGACAGAGAGATTTTTCGAGTGTTCCAGCGAAAAGGAAAGTCGGGACGAATCAAAAACCAGAATAAATAACATGACGGATCCGCGGACAGAACGAAGGTCAAAACAATTATCGCTCGAGTTCTCCGCGGCGAGGGTTCGAAGCTCTTATTTATGAGTTTAATCCCTTCCTTTATTTAAGGAGGAATGATTAAATTGAACCGATTCCTGACTACCGATGTTTTTCGCCTCTGAGTTATTGCTTCCGTTAACTCGGGATGAATGAATCCTCTTGCTTATTTATTGTCCTAACAATAATGAGCCGTGTCATTCTGGAACTTTTAGAAACTTCGGAAGCACGGATAGTAAAAAAAAAAAAATTGAAAAGATTCTGATGATGTCTCCTGAGATTCGTCAAAAGCACATCTTCCTCTTCCGGTGGTCTTCCTGCTTAAAATGAGTCATTTAAGAGCATATTTCAGAGACATCTAATCATTGAATAAATGTTACTGATTTTCGGTGATATTTGGTTCGGTCTAAAAGTCAAATCTTCAGAACCAGTGTTACGCGATCCCACGATCCAACACTGGAAGAAAACCACATTGGATCTAGAGTCCAGACTCTTGAAAACATTGACAAGAAAATGGACTCTTGATTCAATCAGACTTATTAAGCTTAAATCAAGAACCAAGCCTCTTAATTTGAGTGGATTTCCTTTTGAATTAAGCTTAAATCTGATTGAATCAAGAGTCCATTTTTTGTCAATGCGTTTCAAGAGTCTGGACTCTAGATCCAATGTGTTTTTTTCCAGGGAAAGCGCTGCCGAGATTCACGATTTTCTAGATTTTTGTTCTTCTGAAGCAGGAGCTTCAACTATATGTCTCGGCCTAGGCCGTTACACTGTGAACACGAACGAAACTTGGAGCTCCCTGTGGAGGATCCAAAAAGACACCTCATGGTGGACTACCCAACTCCGAAAATGGGTCCCGGGGCCTCCCCAGGAAATTTTTGAAAAATTGATTTTATGTCAGGAGTAATTTTGAGCTGTTTTTACTGACAAATTTATTGAAATACGATTTTGCAGATGAAAAATTTGTCACACTTTGATTGACAAAATCCCGCAAAGTTTTAAGAGGGATCTAGTAGATCTCTGAGGATGGGAAGGCAGAACTCTCGGCCTCTTATTGTTCCACCCATCACAACGAGCGAATAAAACCAATACTTACTTAGTTGAGTCAGTTCGAATTCCATAAGGGTTAAGTTAACTGTCTGTCATTTTGAAATCCCTCATGATAGCCTAAGACGGCTGATTTCATCAAAAATGAATTCTCAGCCCCATTAATCCATTCTTCTTATTATAAAGGCACCCTACACTCCGTTACACAACCTTTCATAACCTTTTACATTTTATTAGCCGTAAAATCTCCATTTTCCCCTTCAATAAATTGATATGCATCTTGCGTCACTGTCAAATTATAGAGTAGGTAAACTTGGAAGCTAACAGGGGCGACTTTCAGCCATTCATAACTAGTTCAGATATCCCTGAGAACGGATCCTTATCTGCGATTTGAGCCAGTGCCGTACATGGAGGAGAGAAAGGAGTACAAGCATTGGTTTGACAATGCATCTCCGATGTCCATTATACTGCGGTAGTCTTGCAGTTTGCAAGTAATTACTAGCGAAAAAAGGGCATGCGCGCACGGCTATTAAAATTAGTGCGTATTGAGCATCGGTGAGGATTCCTTATCTAAATCGGATCGTCTGCTTAATTTCTATTAGCATTGGTAAATTCTCATCAGGAATGGATGTCCACTTATTAGGAAACAATTTAGCGGCTTCGGCGAACCAACGCCATGAGTCGTTGCTCCGTTGCTTCAGTTGTCTGTTAACACAAACGCTTTAATGCTTCATTACCAGTCGTGAAACGCAATGCTTGCCTCACTTGCTGGGGCCCAGAGTTTATAGTATTCTCAAGATTCCAAGTTCCCTTGGATTTCCATAGATTTCTGGTAATTTTTTTTTGTATTGCACATCGCAGGTTGCAATGAGTTGGTGGGGTAGTTTAGTGGGGTACAATTCTACTACATTTTTCAAGTAGGAACTACACTCTCACACGCATCCGTGAAAATACTGAAATCATGGGAAAACAAAAAGTACATACGTTGTTTCTAAATTGATTGTGAGCCAGAAATTGTACTTCCAGATTGCAAAATGCAGTCCAATTGATTAATGCTCTTGTATCGGAGTGTTGCGTATGTTGCCTATCGGATGATTGAAGGGGCTCTTCTAATTGAAATTTGATGAAATGAATTGAAATAAGATGCGATATTTCTTTTCATTGCGAATTGTTTCTTTTTCTATCACATGGTACTTATTCATCACTTAAACTTGACGTTGGTGAATAAAATGATGTGATGAACAAAATCAATTTCATGGTTCATTTGTCCAAAAAAATCGTTTTCTCTCTGATAAGTTAATATTGTTTTCTCATGGACTCAGCATTGCAGAATTCCCTCCATTTCAATCAAATTAATGGCAATTAACTATTTTTGATGCTTTGATTTCAAATTTTTCTTCAGGTTAAAGATAGAACTTGCTAAGAGCCCCACCAAACTGTATACGCAGTTGATAGAAAATATTTTACATTTCTTACAGTTTGTGCGTATTCGTTGATCAAATGATGCAGTAAAATAAAAAATTAAAGAAAAATATATTTCACTCTTATTTTGTCAAGAAAAAAAAAAATTATTTTCTCTAATAAGTTGATATTTTTTTCACACGGACTCAGTATTGCAGAATTTTCTCCAATCGCGAAAATGTTGATAAAATATTTATAATTAGCAATTTTTGGTGCCTAAATTGTACATTTTTCTTCAAGTTAAAAATTGAACTTGAAAAGAACCCTGCCAGACCGTGCGCAATGGACGTGTTGCATGTGTGAAGAATTTGCGATTTCACTATTGATTCTTATGTAAAAGTTCGTGAGAAACATGATGGTGCCACTGGTTTTCTCTGAAATCAACTCCCAAGCTCAAAAAAGCTCTCAAGTTGAGGCCAAAATGGAGGGGATATCCCACCCTACCCTAAGAGTCCACATCTATATCAAGACAAACACTCCATGCAAAGATAGGGAGCAAATACATTGACAGGGCTGCCACTTTATTTGGGGACTCCAAAATTGAAAACACGGCAACCCTGCTAATGAATTTGCTCCCTATCTTTGCATGGAGAGTTTGTCTTGATGTAGACTTGGACTCTCAGGGTAGGGTGGGATATCCTTTCCATTTTGACCTCAACTTGAGGGCTTTTTATGAGCTTGGGAGTTGATTTCAGAGAAAACCAGTGGCACCATCGTGTTTCTCGCAAAATTTTACATAAGAATTAACAAACAGTCAAATCGCAAATTTCTCACACGTGGAACATCTCCATTGAAAGGTAAACGAGTAAGACCCCGATAGATGGTTAAGTTACCCATTTAAAATTTCATCGACAAATTTTCAGGATCACTGACTGCCGCGCCATTGTCAAGAGCCTCAGTCACGAAACAACGGGGCGCAGCGTGGCGCTGGAGTTGTGTCGAGAACGGCATCAGCACCGGCACGTGACCAGACAAAAGTTCCACTGTGACCCGACGCGGTGTCAGCAAATAAAAAGCTCTAGCGCGAATTACCCGGACAGAGAGAGAGGGGGGGAGGAGGGATAGAGAGTGAGAGAGAAAGATCGTCATCCTAGAGATAGAGGCAGACAAAGTCGTGAAGACACAGGGCACAATGGAAAGGCTTAGAGGACAAGGCGCACAAATGCAGTTTTTGCTATTTCGAGAAATACGTGTTTGAAGTTTCAAAATTATACGAATCCTTATGGCGAATGAATGTTCAAACTGACTTTTCGATGCTTAAAATTTGGAATTCGGGAGCGAATCTTTCACGGAATATGCGCACCGAAGAAAAATTCTCAGTGTTTTTACCAAGGTCCGTTGGTACGTTTACCATTTCACTTTTTTTACCAATTATTGGTAATTTTACCAAGACAGACTGGTAAGCTTACCTAAAAACCGGTAGTTTTACTGTTTTTTATTGGTAATCAATTCCCGGTAACTTTGCCATTTTATCTCGGTAATTCTACCACAGTCGAAAAAAAATATTGGCGTTTTTACCGGGGTCCAGTAAAATTACCGGGAAAGTTCAATAATTTTACCGAGATTTCTCGGTAAAATTACCAATTCCATAAATGGTAATTTTACCAAGCAAAAACTGGGATCAAATAGAACCCTGAATTCTTGGTAATTTTACCCTTTTCTCAGTGAATTCATCGAGATTTTTTTTTCAGTGCATTGAGACTAGTTTTACTTGAAATCCGGTAATGTCTCGATTTTTTCAAAAACTGCATTTGTGCGCCTTGTCCTCGAGCCCGACAATGAGGGTTAGGTGGTTCTTACCGAGGGCAGAAATGGAATAATTGGCCGGGGGCTTGAGGACGTTGCGTGACCACGCCGAGCGGATGATCTCCAGCGCGCAGGGGTTCGCCGTGACCAGGAGGACACCCGGGGCCACGTATCCTTGGAATTCCAGCACTCTCACCGCCTCCATGAGCGAGGGATTCCAGAAACACTTGGAATTTGCATCCAAAAAGCTCTGCAACACACCAACCAACAGCGTTCATCAATTAAACGGCACCAATTAATCAAGGCGGCTAATAAACGCCGGAACCTCGCGCTCTCCCTTCACTCCCGCCGGCGCCGGCACCGGTGAGCGATGCTCCCGTCCCGAGGAAAAACCTCGTATCAGCATTCGAATCTTGCTTAATTTGTCGTGCTAAGTAAAAACGCCGTAAGAGCATTCGAGTGCTGCCGAATTTCTTCTCGGGAAATATTTATTTTCGAAAAAAGTTGTGAATATTTTTCCTTGAAATATTCAGACTTTTTACATCTATCTCAGGCACACAGAAAAAAACACATTGGATCTGGGATCCAGACTCTTAAAAACATCGACAAGAAAAAGGACTCTTGATTCAATCAGATTTAAGCTTAAATCAAAAGGAAATCCGCTCAAATTAAGAGGCTTGGTTCTTGATTTAAGCTTAAATCTGATTGAATCAAGAGTATTTTTTCTTGTCGATGTTTTTAAGAGTCTGATGGACTCTAGATCCAATGTGTTTTTTTTTTTTCCAGTGTGTCTCAGGCAACAATTCAAATCAGGCATTTTGTCAAATGCCTGGGCAGATAGTCGAATAAACTTACTTGAATTGACATTGTTGGTTATTTTTCTAATTTTAGAGCGAATAATTCTTTACTTATATTCGAAATAATTTACTATAAAAATGTGCATTATACAAGGATCTGTAAAGATCCGTAGGATTCATAACGTACAGAATCACATAAAATACAGAATTCTTCAAATACTTACGGTTAAAATATATGAGGAGCATTTAAAGAGGAATATACTGGGGAATTAGGTAGATTTTATGAAGTTCTACTGAGAAAGTGCCGAAAACTTGAGAATCCTTCGACAAAAACATACTAAACTTCGAAATAAGTGAAAATTTGACTTTTTGCCTAAGCACTTGATAAAATGCCTGATTTGATTAGTTGCCAGCGACATATCAAATCACGAACGAAATCCTCTAAAAAACGGGAAAAATTACACATTTTCCAGAAAATCCGTGAATTGTCGAAGGAAATTTGGCAATGCTTGAAGGCTCATACGGCGTTCCTCCTTGGGAGGCAGAAAACTCTCTGTTAACATTATAAACTCTATAAAAATGTGTGGATATTTTCCTTACACGTTTCAAATAAACTGTATGAAATTGTGTAAAGAATTTGATGACAAACATTCTGAAGTTATAATAATGATTTGAATTATAAATGATGAAACGTGGCAACGTCTGAATTTTCATATTAATTTTCTTCCTTAGCACGGTTGAATGAGAGAGTAAAGGCCACCGCATTGCAAGCAATATCCTTTCCATTAACTGCATGGGAAGTTGACGATCAAAACCTGTTAAGCGCCGATTATCAGGTGGTGCAAAGATTTTGCAACGGTTCAAAGTAATTTCACGGCCGAAGAACTATGTTTATTTCCTTAAAATTTAACATTCACGAAGTGGTTGCATTTTCAGCCTCTCTTGTCATAAAAGCAAGATCTACAACTTTGTAACAGGTCGACAAGTATTGTTTTCCATACTCTCCACAACCGTATTGACAGTTGACGATGATCGAAGGTCGTATTTAAATCTAAAAGAACTATATCCATCCTGACATGAGCTCTGAGATCCATAAGAGTGCGTGCATGATAGGGCTCATGTCACCATGGATACGGGTCCTTTTGATTTTAATACGTGCAATTGGACGTATTTATGCTGAATGGAACTATATGCATATAGACGGTGAAACTACCAAACCACGTATCTCGGTTTGCGACGTCGCAGACTTCCTGTCATACTTTATTTTTTAAATGAAAAACTACTTAACATCCAGTCTTGAAAATTTCTGTGATTTTTCCTCTTTGTGCGGAGAAAATTCCGTGAAAATTTCAAGGAATGATATTGATTTGGTATACTTCAAAAAAATAAAATGTGAGCGTAGATTTTTAAACACCGCAAACGAGATACGTGGTTTGGTAGTTTCACCGTCGATATAGGGTTTGCGTGCAACATAGTTTCTTTTGGCATAAATGCTTCCAATTTTTTCTAAATTTGGTGAAACTCTTATTTATTATTAAGTACCACGAAGTTTTTCCCTAATTTCCAACCAAATGGAATTTCTATGCAAACATAAGAAGATCCCAATGTATATAAAAGTGTCTGAAGAAAATCCTCAATATTTACCAACGCCGAAAATGATCGAAATAGATGTAGCTCATACCTATACCGACTCATTACGTTAGAGAGATAGTCTCATGATACCTCTTCTACATTGAGTCAACTGAGCGACGTCCATTATGATAATTTTCAGTACAATTTTTCGGTGAATCTTCTCAAATTTGACGCAATGTCATACAGATCACTATTAATATCACCATAAGTTATATGGATCAGTTCCTTGTATTAATTTGTACGTTACGACAATGAAGATGTTGCATGTGTGAAAGATTTGCGATTTGACCATTGATTCTTATGTAAAAGTTCGCGAGAAACACGATGGTGCCACTGGTTTTCTCTGAAATCATCTCCCGAGCTCAAAAAAAGCTCTCAAAGTGAGGCCAAAATGGAGGAGATATCCCACCCTACCCTGAGAGTCCACCTCTACATCAGAACAAACTCTCTATGCAAAGATTGGGAGCAAATACATTGACAGGGCTGCTACTTTATTTGGGGACTCCAAAACTGAAAACACGGCAACCCTGCTGATGTATTTGCTCCCTATCTTTGCATGGGGAGTTTGTTTTGATGTAGAGGTGGACTCTCAGGGTAGGGTGGGATATCTCCTCCATTTTGGCCTCACTTTGAGAGCTTTGTTTGAGCTTGGGAGTTGATTTCAGAGAAAACCAGTGGCACCATCGTGTTTCTCGCGAACTTTTACATAAGAATCAATGGTCCAATCGCAAATCCCTCACACATGCAACATCTCCATTTTTGTTCCTTAAATGCACAGGCTGCGTAACTGCGCAACGTAATGGCGGATATTGTCCCTAAATTCACTTGGAAGCACCTCAAGCGGTCCTCCGCAAGAAAATTCGATAGTGTTTATTTGGACGGTGAGGTTAGATCAGATCATGCGCTACATTCTTTGCATGCTCGGACAGAGGCGGCATTCTGGTGTAACTAATCTGAGTTTGATCGCTATTTCTTCATCCTAGGTCACAGCTCGAATTCCTAGCCAAAATCGGAATTTCATTGTACATCGCGAGTCCTCGTAAATGGAAGGGGCTCGCCGTGGAATGAGACTGTCCGTTTCGTCGCCCCTCTGACGTAAGGGCGTATCACGATTTCAGAATGAGCCCCAGAAAGCATGGGCTCATATGTAAAATAGGGCTCACGTGGAGATCGCGATACGCTCTTACGCCAGAGTCACGACGATTTGTGTGAGACAAACTGATCTAAAAGGTAAACTTTGTGGACCAGTTTTCAGACCTCTGTATAATTTGCATTTAATGTTCTTCTGGATTTTGAATGATTTTTTCCTGGAAGACATTTTTATTTGGCTCCATTTTAGTGTTGATATTTTCCGGTGGAGGGAATATTCTTTTCTAGTGTGGAGTTATTGACCTGAGGGCATTTTTTGAATAATTCCATCACAAATGAGTTCACTTTCTTCGACTTTTCCCATGGTCCAGGCAGAGGTTTTTCATTCCAGCAAAGCGCTTTTCTGGAGGTGCGCAGGGCCCATTTGGGGATCAGGTCGCTTGTTAGTCGGAGGGCCCATTATATCGGCAACGGAACAATATTGCATGCGTCAGGGATTTACGATTTAAATACTTTTTTTGCGAAAAACACGTGATTTTATTGATTTTCTCTGAAAGTAACTCCCAAACTAAAAACAAAAACAAAAAAATTCTCAAAGTTGAGGCCGTAATGGAGAAGATCAAACACCTCAAGCAACACTGAAAGACCACCTCTGTATCCAATCAAACTCTCCACGTACAAATAGAAAGTAAATACATTAGCAGGGTTTCCACTTCGTTTAAGGACTTCGAGGCTGGGACTACGGCAACCCTGCTAATTTATTTGCTCCCTATCTGTGCATTGGCGGTTTGACTAGATACAGCAATGAGCTCTTAGCGTAGCATGCGGGGATTCCCTGCTCCATCACAGCCGATGCTTGGAGAATTTTTTTTTCAAGTTTGGATTCCGTTTCAATGAAAACAAGTGCCACCATCGTGTTTCTCGCAAAATTTTACTGAAGAAGAACTACACGAAAAAAACGTCGACTGTGGAAGCCGTATTTACGGGATATACCGTCCATTCTGGGCTCAGAGCCCGAAATTTCCGGGTGGAGATCCGTTGCTACGGCCTCTAACCGGGAATTATCGAAGCGACATCTTCAGCACCCGGAACCTGGAGTCTCTGAGCCTGGATGGTATGTAATATACATCATTACATCCCGTTACTTTTTTTCCGTGACTTAAATCGTAAATCGCTGAAGCATGCAAGAGTCACATTGACGGCATCCGAAAGCTGACAAGTCGATGACAGTCTGAACTTTTGACAGTGGCGAAGGGCGCTTCTTACTAGTGCTCTCATTTCTCGGAACTAGTACCGAATTCCGGAACTTTTGAGATGTTCCTGAATTACTCTCGGACGGAAGGGCTTAAGGGCCTTAGTCGCTAGACGAACAGCCACCGCACATGGTTACTACACATAGCTGCTCCAGCATTTTTAAATTTTCAGGGATTAAGCCCAAGTAGGATCTGTTTTGGCATATCCACCTGTCAGTTCCTTGAAAGTTTGATACCACTATCGGGACTCGAACTCGGGACCTATTGACATAAAGTATGACCACTAGGGTAACCTGGCAGGCCTCATGCGGAACTTTTGAGAATTTCCTGAATTTTTTCCGAAACTTTTGAAATCCCGAAATGTTCCTGCTCTTTTGTATTCTCCGGAACTTTCTCGGAAGTTTTGAAAAAATCTAAAAAAAAGTCCCGGAACTTTTGACGGTCATCGAGTGGCAGAAATTGGAACAAAAAAGTTCCGA